GATGTCTTCATTTATCAGCTATGCACCTCCTCTGCCAAATCTTTCTTCCGTGCTCTGCGCAGAAGAGGTGCATTTCAGACAATTCACCTTCGTCACGTCCATCCCGAAAGTGAACACCGAAGCCCCGTAAAACCAACCGCACTTCGTATGCCAGGATGTGACGGGTGAGGCCACCGGCTGCTTCTTGTTCTCATGTACCGTTCCACTCTTCGAGAGGATGACTGGTGGTAGTAGGCCTTGATGATTGTTGGAGATCTCCTCCCACTTCAAAATCGATGCATCGAGCTGGTCTTGTTTGTCCTTCAGCCTGTCCAGCTCCTTCTTCAACCTCTTCTCCGTTTCTTTGCCTTGTTCTTCGCCCTTCGTTGCCACCAACTTCTCCACGACCCGTTCATTTCCTCCTCTTCCTGGGTTCACACCTGCTAGGTTGATCGCCTTGTTCATCACCGGCATGGTTTCCAGGGCCTCTTCCGCATACTGTAGGATCACGTCGCTCTTCCATCTTCCCAGAAAAGCCACCTGGGGCACGTGCCAACCCCGTCTGATATATTGCAAAGCCCCTGACCTCCTGGCGGAATGCCCTGAGATGTTCTGCCCAAATAAGTTCCTCCAAGCTCCTATGATCTGGTTCTTTTCTATTGTACCTTCGCTGTCGCCATGTACTAGATGATCTTCCTCGATCGGAACGTTGTCCAAAGCTGCTTTCGAAATCGCCAAGGGACAGGGTTCTGACCAGTTGCATTCCTCCGGGCAACAGCACTGCAGAGTCCTTTTCAGTCCTTTGGCTTCTTGGTCACACTTCGTGAGCCTCAGGGTCAACGCCACCGTCTTCTCCTTCTCGTTGATCACGATGTCCTCCTTGTGGACTGCCGCCAGTTCCACCTCCCGCAGCACCCAGACGGTCGCAAACCCAAACATGAGGGCTGGTCGGTGTACTGGGCCCTTCAGCTCTTCGTTCGTCTCGATCTTGCAGGCTTCCATCCACTCCACTTCCTCCACTTCAGCCGCCTTCTTCACCGGCCCCCTTGCCCTCTTCAATGCACGAGCCACTTGTCCGAATGTCCTTTGTAGTCTATGCGACCACGTCTTGCCCGCCTCGATCAACATCAGCTTGTACTCCGACAAGTAGGTGACCCCTGCTTTATAGTCCGCTTTCTTGAGCACAGCGCCCACTCTTTCCAGTGTCTCCTCGGACCATTGTTCTGCTGTCCCCTTCGTGCCCAGGTTAAGCAGAATCTTGTTGACCGTTTTGCGCACTGAAGCCTTTGCCCTTCTAGAGGAGTTCGCATAGTACCCCTCCTTGAAGTCCTGCAGGCTCTTGTCTCGTTGCGGCCGGTTCAACCTGAAGATGCGCGCCGTCTGTATTGCTTTCTTCCACTTCTCATTCTTCTTCACCCCTTTTGTTCGCTCCGGCTCTTTAGGCATGTCCTTCCTCCGCCTCTTCTTCTTCATCCCTGAGCCTTTACCTTCGCCGCGTCCGCCACGTTCGCGATGTAGCCCCCGTCTCCCCTGAGAGCCACTCGCTTTCAGCCTCTCCTCCCTTTCCGGTTTCTCTTTCGAAGTCCTCCTTCTCTTCACCAAATGGAGCAATCCCCCGCTTGATTCACTCCCCCTTGACAGCACTTCCATTGGAGGTACCGGTGGAAAGCTGAAATCGAACTTCTCTCCTCCCCATTCTTCGCTCAGTCCAAAGCCTTCTGCGCCACGATCTTCGCCCGGGCACACCTCCCTTTTGTCCGCACCAAGTCTCACAGCTGCCAACTGTCCTTTGTGTTGAGCCTCCTGGTCACCAACCACTGCATGTCCCTCGACTCCCTCACGGACTCCCTCCATGGTGAGTAGTTCGACCTCGGAGAAATCGACCTGTTGGTTGAAGTCCCTTCCAGTGCCGTGGTTCTCGTGGAAGGTGTGTCCAGCAAGTTCGGTGTTGAAGGCTCTTCTGTTCTCCTTTCCCTGCTGGCCATGCTGTTCAGCAGGTTCCTCCATGGCTCGGGTTGGGGTTCTTCTGGCCTGGTCAACCTTCGACGTATCCCTGATGCCGGCCCCCAGTCCAGGTACGTGTCGAGATAGTCCCGTGGTTGGCCCATGTCCCAGGCTTCTTCCCACTCCTCGTCTTCGGAGTCCAGGGTGTTGTTGATGTAATTCTCGGTTGACGTCTCCGCCTTCCACCACGTCCATGGGTAACCCCGCGGAGTGTGGCGTGTCTTCCACCATGCTATGAACTTCTTGCAGCCAAGCCAGGCTGCCCCGACGTGCGCGAAGATGCCGATCACGATGAGGTAGAAAGCCCAATAGGCCAGCCATGGTGCCGGCTGCCCACCGAGTTCCTGTGGGCGGAGGACGATCGCGTCCGCTGGAGCTAACTCCATCCTTGGGCCCTCACCTCGTGCATTAACACACACAACTCACGAATCGGCTCGATCGACGACGTCGCACACCAAACCGAACTTTCAGCCTTACCTTTCAACCTCTTCCGCCTCCTCCTGTGTCCCTTTTTCAAACGATTCCTTCAGAATCTGGCCATCGAGTTAACGACAGGCCCAAGCCGCCACTAAGGCTTCGCCGTCCTGCCAGTCGGCAGTGTCGGGGCCTGGCGGGTTCAGGCGGTACCACGCTGCTGATCTTTCCTGGGGCGTCTCGATTGAAATGCCCTCTAAGGCGACCGGCAAGGTGGTGGTTGCCCAAGTATTTGGTCTGCTCAGGAAGTCGGCTTCCTTGTTGGCGACCCCAGGGAGATGCGTCGGAAGGAGGTCCGACAAGCCCAGCGCTTCGCACACCACCGCCAACTCCGCCCCCAAGAAATTCAGAGAGGCGTTACTGTTTGAGAATTTCTGAGTGAGTGCCAGCGCTGTCACGGAGTCCGACTGTACCCCGATTGCCACGTTCACTGCGGCCAGGAGCTTACCCCAGTGTTTGAGGGCCACCAAGATCGCCAGCGTCTCTGCAATGCCCTGCGAGCTTGATTCGCCCAATTGGAAGCCCAGCAACTTAGCATCCATCTCGTTGATGGGCGATGCCAATGCCTTCGTGACTCTTCCGTTCACCAGAAGAACAGCTCCAATGCCCAGGGGTGAAGCGTCCGTCATCACGCTGGCCTCCGCTTTGCCGCTCTTGTACAGTGCGTACTTGCGGATCGGTCTTTCCTTCGCCGCCTTCAAGTAGGACAGGAGCCAGGTTCGTGCCTTCTCCACACGCTTCACCGGGATGAGATGGTCCTTTGAACGGCTATCTTTCCTTTGAGACCTTCGAGCTGCCTCCACCCCTGACTGAACATCGTCCTCGTGGCTGTACAAGGTCGCATACAGCGACGCGGTGACCCACCTGGCTCGAGGCAGCACGCCCGCCAGCCAAGCCACCCTGCCAGCTGCCTTTCTTAGCTCTGCCGTCCCAATCATTCCTTTCTTGTCCCACGCTTCCAGCTGTTTTTGGAGCTCGTCCATGAACTTTTCCGGGAGCGTGACCAGCAGGTGATCGTAGTCGGGTGCCACTAGCTTGAAGTGGATTCCTATCCAGGTCACAGCCGCCGATCGTTCGCCCTTGCCCAGCGACAAACGCAGCCCGAGCGCTGCCATCGTGTGGACGATGCACGACAGGGTGTGGTTCCTCTCATGCAGCTTGCCCCCCAGCACCCACAGGGAATCGTCCAGGTATACTTGATGCATTCCCCGTTCCGCCGGTATCACTGATTGCAGCAGTCGGGCTATGCAAGCTGCCACCCGGCTCCAGGTCAGTGGTGCAGTTTTGAAGCCAAAGAGGAGAGCTATGAACAGCAACCAATGCTCGTCGTCCAAAGCTGGCGCTAGACAGTGGCCCTTCTCCTCCTCCGCCACTGCCAGGTGCATGTAAGCATCTGATACGTCTATCATCACCAGCTCCAGAGTCTTGTCCTGCGGCCTCACCAATTCGGCTTTCGACGCATGCATCCTCCGAACCATCGCTATGGCGTCCGTGGGTCTGGGCAAGATCAAGCGCTCGGGGAGTACTGCCTTCCTGTTGCCTCCTGACCTCCTCAAGTCTATTATGATCCTTCGCTTCTTCGCTCCTCCCTCCTTCGTCTTGACGATGAGCCCCAGCTTGGAGATTGTCGTACCTTTGAAGCCCGCCCTTTCGACTTCTCCTTTTCTGGCCTTGACGGCATAACCTCTGTCCATCAGCCTGTCGATTTCTATCTTGGCATCTTCCTCTTGTTCCCTCACTGAAACGTAGTTGCCAATGTCCTCCCTCAAGCCTTGCGCAGCTTGCCAATCTTCTGGGCGTTGAATTTCCTCCTTCAAAGTCGGTGGGAAGATGTTGCAAGTCTTGATGGGGACGTTTATGCCAAGGGGCACCCCTTCTTTGATCCACCGGTGCACCTCCGTCTCCGGGTCCCCTCCTCTTCGGCACCATGCTTCTATCAGGTTCCCATCCATCGGAGATTGATAGGCCCATTTACCTGTCAACTTGATTGCTGGTGCCCCCTTAGCTCCTGTCAGCTTCCGCAGCTCCTCTTTCCATCTTTCCACCAAATGCGCTTCTAACTTGCAATCCTCCGACCCATATTCTTCGCCCACCTTCATCACCTTCGGGTTGTTCATGCAGTGCCTCTCCCAAGCTCCCCAAATGCGGCGCCCCAAGTTCTGCAGCGTCGGAATCCCTTCCACCACTTCCATCGGATTCTTCATGCCGCCTACGAAGCCTTGCTGGTCCAACCTCTTCTCTTTCTGCTTCTCTTCTTTGAGCATGCCATACTTCCCTTCGCCCGGCTTCCAGCGTAGGTCCACCTTCTCTCCTCCCCTCCTGTCTCCTCTTCTTGCTCCGCCGCGGCTCCTGCTTCTCCTTGAGGCCGACCTCCACCTTTTCTGTGCCCTCTTCTCCTCCAACTTCCTTTCCTCCTCCTTGCTCTTCCTTCTCCTCTTCTTCTCCTTGTCCTCTTCCTCTACCTCCTTCTCCTTCGCCTTGTCCCTGCTCTCTTCCCATCTTCGTTTTTCTTCCTTCGTCCACTCTTCATCAACTCCTCTCTGAGCTTCGGGTGTAGGCGACAATTTCACCCCTTCTTTGTTCCTTCGTGTCCTCATTGATGTCGCCTCCGCATCGCCCGTTGCTATCTCGAAGTGCTGATGTTCTTCTTCCCTCAACCTCCCTTCCAAGTATTCTGCCGTCGCCATCTTCTCGAAGTGGTCCATCAACAAATAGGCATAGGCCCGGCAAAGTTCGACCGGGTACTCCCCCGACTCTTGGGATTCCTTCTTCCCGATGATCGGTCGATGTTTGGCTCCTCCGCATTTGCAGTCCCTGCTCAAGGATTCGATGCCGTAGAGAGTACCTGCGAATTGCTGTGGCTTGAAGTGACGATCACCGCGTGCCCGATTTGCTTGGAAGGCACACGTGTTGAATTGGGCGATCTTGACACCGGCCATGCGCAGGTACCCCACCATTTCTGACATCCCCCAAGCCGACAGGTGGTCCTCGACGTCCGATGGAGGAGGGTTCTCCATTGATGTTGGTCTGGCCACTATCGTCGATGTGGGATTCTTTGCCAGTTCCTCGGCCAGTTGAACCGAGCGCGCAAGCATGACTGTCCCTCTGTCGCATTCCGCTTGCTGAGCATGGGAGTTGGACATCTTCCCGTGTGGTTCGCTTCGGGTTCGAACTGGCTTTGGAAGGTTAGGGGCATCTCGGAATCTCAGGCGCGAAAACGTCGAGCAAGGGAATCCTGAGTGGTACCCATCGATGAGGCCCTCCTTCGCCCACCTGAGGTGCGTGTTGTAGGGCTCATCCAAACAGAGGTCCTGGCCCCAGTCCTTCTCCGCCGCTATCACCTCTACGTTCAAGCCTCTTTTGGCCGCTACCTGATGGATAGCTGCTCCAAGTGGATCACGGGGTCCTGCAAAGTGATGTAGGAAGCGGAATCGCCTGGCCTTCACGTACCTCTGTATCTTTTCTTCCAACCTCTCCTGAGACGATTTCTCCTCCTCCTCCTTCTTTTCTCCTTTCTTTTCTCCTTTCTTCTCACCCTCATCCTCCTCTTTCTTCTTCGCTTCACCTTCGTCACCTGCTGCACGACCGTCTCCGGTCTCCTTCACTTCTTGGCTTGACACCTGATTGCTGGGTGACCCGGCGACCCACAGGATGAACACTTGTGAGCCCGCTTCACTGCGTTCGTGCACTCCGCTCCTGGTGGCAATGATCCACACGGACTGTTCCCGTTGTTCCACGAGAAGCAAATGGGTTCCCCTTGCTTCCCTCCTTTTCCTTTCTTGCTTCCTCCTTTTCCTCCTCCTTGTCTCTCCCAGCTTGATTCGCTTCGGGCTTCTCGAAGTCTTTGGAGCTCTTCTCTTTCCGCCTGCCATTTCCTCTTCTTCGCCTCCCGTCTGTCTCTGTTTCCTTGCCTTCTCGCCGTGGATGTAGTCGCCGGTGAAGTTGAGCCGAACGTCCCCGACTCCATCGCTGGCATCAACGAGCTCGTACCTCCACGTAGTGCGTTCTCGGCGATCGATTCCTGGGGGGTCATCGCTCTTCCTTTCGATCCGCTCGCAAGCCATGTGAGGGCCGGACTGTGTATTTGGTCCTGCCAAAATTTCATTTCGTTCGGCGCCATGCGAATCAGGGCTTCCCATGGTTTCTTCTCGTCGAAGTTCAAAGGGACCGGTTTTCCTTCTTGCTGATCCATCGCCACCTTCAACTTCAGCCTCGACAGCAGTTCCCCTCTCGCCATCTCGTCCGCCGCGTACACCAAATGCCAGGCGTCCGGATATAGCCGAGTCAGCTTCTCCACGTACAACTCGTAAGCATGGGGGGGGGCCAAGGCGCATTCCTGCAGCATGATCATCGCCGTCGTGAACACCCTGAAGCATGCCCTCCATTGTGTGAAGTTGGCCGGACCCGGCAATTCCTTCGACACGTAGCCCTCGGCCGTCGGTACCCAGGTTCTGTACCTCGAAGCCCTCAATGCCTTCCTTCCGAATGGCACGAACACTCCAAAGTCCGCGAAAGGAGGTTTTCCCATCGACAGCTTCTTCTTCAGGGCCGAGAGCTGTTCTATCGTAGGCTCTTCCTCCTCCTCGGGCAGGGATCCCGTCGTCGCGATGTACTTCTGGAGCAACGTCATCTTCGCTTCTTCTCCCAAGACCTCGAACTCGCCGTCGTCTCCTTGGTCCAACACTTGAGCGAATTTCAAAGTCCTGTCCTTCGTGGCCTTCGCATCCGGGTCGATTGAAGTGGGTCTCATTGGGCTCGAAGAGGATGAATCGTTCAACCCTGAGGTACTCCATGGATCTTCCTCCACCCAGTTGTCCCAAGCACCTCCGCCCTTCGTATACATGATCTTCCTCGCCAATTTCCACACTAACCCCACATGGGCGGCCTGCACGGCAGTCAAGGGGACATCCGAGGGGAGCATGGCCTGCGACAAGGCAGCAGCAACCACACTGCCCGGAAGGGCAGCGAGCAAACGCAAGTCGTTGCCAGGGGAGCCGGTCTCCTGAGTGAAAGCTTCCCAAAGCTCCGAAGTCACTCCAAAGTGCTGGAGCAGGTCGTCGACCGATTGCATCCCCAGGGCCGTGGCTGCCGTCGGAAACATGGCAGCAAAAGAAAAGCCAGCCCGCGAGGAATACCCCCATCCTACAAAGCCATTTGACCTTGCAGGGATAGGGACTTGAGCCAAAATGGCTGCCCGAAATCTATGAGGACTCAGCTTCAGCACAGCCTCTGCAACTTGCCGATTCGACATTCCAGTGAGCAAAGCACCGCAATCAATGAGCACAAACAAATGGACTTCAGATTGAACGATGAGAATCTCTTCCAAAATCTGCAAGGGTTCCTTGTGCTCAATCATTCTCACAGGGGACGGTCCGCCCATCTCAGGATCACAAAGACTCGCAAAGCACGGCCATCAGTGTGCTTCACCATGTCGTCCTCATACTGCTGCACTTGATGATACCTGTCATGGGAGCCCAAGTGCCTAAAAAGCAGAGTTCGACTAGTTGTGACTGCTAGTCTTACAGAAGCACGAATCACTGGATTGCAAAGGAACACATGAAATTATTTCAACGTGGGCCCTTCATACAGCAATGGGCCTTGAACGGAAATTGTCGAGTTTCCTTGGGAAAAACAAACTCCTCCAGGAAAGTCTCGACAACCTGCAAATTCTGGGCCAGCTTTGGCCAAAGCATCATCAAAGGTCAAGCCCTCTCCAGCCCTTGGGATTTTCAGCCTTTTGGCGACGGCTTTGTGAACAGCCCGTCTGCAAGTCATCTTCAATGGCTGCAGCCCATAACCAAAGCCTGTAGTGACGCGTTTGTTCCTTGAGAGGCAAGTCCTTCAACCATTGCAGGACGCGGTGAAATGACTGACGAGTCAAACCATCTTCAGCATAGGTGCGCAGCATCAAAGTGATGGCCAAATCAGGGTGACCAAACTCGGTCCTGTCGCTCGAGGATTGTAATGTAAATACTCGGGGATTGTATTGCCTTACAAATTGTGAACACATAAAACCGAGTAAAATGCATATATTATACTAGTAACAAAAAGCTACCAGGGTCTCCTGGCCTCACTACTAGGAGCAAGGACGCTACTAGGGGCTCCTGGCATCGCTACTAGGCGCATTCTTACTACTAGTAACAAGAAGCTTTTACAAACCTAAATTATCTATTTTCACTCGGTCCTCTTGCTCGGAGCATCTTTGACAGCGCCAAGTCACGTTGTCCACTCCAAACTCGACCCTGTGTCTCTTGTGCAGCGCAGAACGCAAGATATCACACGCAAAGAGGCCTCTGGCAGTGAGAGCAGCTTGTGGCAAAGATGGATTCCTGTCATCCTCCTGAACAAGCTCCAAGATCTCCTTCAACTTCTCATCAAACAAATTTGGATTGAGAATGAACTCGCGCAGTCAATCACCTCAAACTCATGTTGAAGAAATGACTGAAAACAACCAGAAAGGCTGACAAGTGAGAGCATGATAGGGCCCTGATAGGGCATGCCAATCTCTCATCTACAACTCTCAGAGATTTACAACCCCCCTGCCCCATTTACAGTCGTTCCTTGTACCTCACTGACAAAAAAATCAGCTACAGCTACCGAGCTGCGAGTCTTCAAAGGAAGATTCCGGAGGCCACCCAACTTCTCATGCTTTTCAGTGCTGGACAACAAATCTTCGCAAAGAGATTGTGACAGCTCTGCCCAATCCTCCTCATTTCCTCAGTTGATCTCTAAAGGCTCAGGATTGCTTAGAAATAAGATCGACCTGGTAGCCCCAGACACTAAAGGTGTCGCTTTCAAGCCCCCTCTCTCTCTTTGCCGGTCGCCATACGGGAACGGTCTCCGACGTGGCACCGTTGGGAAAGACGTAGAAGACAAAGGGCCCGAGCAAGAGTCAAGAGATTTCAAGGGAAAAGCGCAGAAGCAATGGCAAGGCCAATGGGAAGAGTGGCGGAAGTCACCACCAGCCAAGGAGAAGCAGGCAAAGAAAGGGTCTGGCAAAGGTCAGCCAATCATGTATGGATGGGACAGAAAACCCATTCAGCTAGATGGAGACTCGAAGGGTGGAAAATGGTCATCCTCATATGGATCGCAATAACCAAAGGCTGAAAACTGCCATGCGACAGGTGATGGAGACACGATCTCCGTCTCCTTCTCCTTCATCGCCTCACAAAGTCTCAAAGGTGGTCTGTCTTCATTTTGAGACTCCAAAGGATAAACAGCTCATCGTATGCTATGCAAGAAGCTATCTGTAGGCATACAAAAACTATATAATTGCCTTTATTTAATAAGTCATAAAATGTCATAAGCCGATAGGATAAGAACATGATTGCTTACTCTCTGCCTCCTTCCATCGAACCCATGATTGCACCAACTTTGGCAGCCTGCAACCATTGGAGAGTATGCGCTGACACACTACATCTGGGCCTAATTATAAGCTGCAGAGTGAGCAAGTTGAGCCAAATATCCTTCTCTGCATGTCATGTTTTGTGTCTGAGCCATAGGAAGGCATGCAAACAAAACGAACAACTAGTTCATGTGCAAGGGAAGCGACATCAAGGTCGCACATGTAGTACATTGTAGTATATACTAAACATCCTGACGCAACAGGCAGGCCTGTTTTCTGTGGCATCTGTGTCTTTCAGCTTTACTTGGTGAAACTGAATCAGTCTCGACATGTCTGGCTACTCCAGTGCTGGCACCTTGGGCGCTGCAGTGGAAAAATGCGCATGCCGGGCTTGGCTATCCGCTATCCGACAAACATCAATCCGGATCCTCCTCAGCCTCTTCTTTCCCACTTGAACCGCCAGATGTCACACTCTTGACTTTCAATGTCTTTTTCCACGCGGAGATCTCACTGTCGGCCGTCGCCTCTGTGCAAGCCACTAGTTCGTTCTTGTTGGAGGGCATTCGCCGCTCGACCATTGAAAGGCTCTGCCACCAGAAATGAAGGTTCTTGAGCGACTCCAAGGATTGATTGACATTGCGCAGTTGAGACGACAAGGCCTCAAATTCCATGATCCTCGCGAAAAAGGAGATGAAGGACACCAGGACTGGCATCCAAGCTTTGTAGCCGAGAGGAGTTGCAGCCGCCAGTGCCGCGGTCAGAAAGTAGGTCAAGACCTGGAGTACCAGCACTTTCCTTGAAAGGTCACGGCTGCGCCAAGAGTAGTACTGAAGCATGGGCAAAAATCGGAAATGGATGTAGTCCTCGGCCGTCACTAGAGATGTTCCATCATCATTCAAATAGTCGTCATCAATTGCAAAGGGGTTTGGGTGGAAATCGCTGCCAGCCTGGTTCCATGGGCCGCCCTCAAGATCCATAACCTTCGCAGAAGGACGTCTGCAGGGATTGCAGAGCCTTTTGCAACAGGAAGTGGAGGAAGTGCGCTGGTGGTAGGAGGCAAGCACCTTGTCCCAGTCATAGAGGTTAGCCTTCAGTTTTGCCATGGCCGAAGCTGGCGGCATAGACAAGTAATCAGCCTGGACATCCGAGCCTGTGGCATCAGAGTTGATTTGCGCTAAAGCTGCTGAGAAAGTGCCTCGACGAGTTATTCCATTTGGGGCTGTTGCCTCAGCCTTCTTCTGCCTCTTCTTCAGAGCTGCTAGGGTGGCTAGGTCAGCGGTGCTAGGAGGATTGTCACAGAGCTCCTCCACGCGATCTTCAATGTCCATGTCGTTGGACTTCCGAGGCTGGTAATACAGCACACGACAGCGGTACTGATAGATCTCACTCTTCACATTCACAGCACCGCTTTCCAAAGCTGCCCACTTGTTGACAAAGTTCAACCGGCTGATTGAGGTCAGAACAGAAGCACTCACACAGGGCAGGACCAGCAAGCTCACTCTGAGCTCTTCCTTTTGCAAAGGTGAGTCTGGGTTCGTCGTGCTTTCGCGATACAAGATAGCAACCACGGTCACAACAACTGAAAGCACCAGTGCACTGTACTGGAGAATTCTAGCTCTTCGTCGGAAAATCGCCGCGTTGTAGGCGTAGAGCAAGTATTGTTCCCAAGCATATTATCGGAGACGATTTTCTTCGCTCTTGGCAAAGCCAATCTCCATCATTTCATCATCTTGGACTGTGGACAAAACAAGTGTCAGCTTGTTGATGACCTTTTCAGCTGAATCCTTTGCTGGATTCAGGATCAGGAACTGATCGTCAGGTACATTTTCCGGCAGGTCATATCCATACATGAACTTCGAGTGTTCAGCATGATGGGGCTGGCGTCTGCAGATTGCGGATCTCCTCTTCCTGCTTCTTGATTGGTGCTTGCTGCAGCTCAACTGCAGTTTCCAACTGTGCCACCTTTAGCATCAGGAATTCCAGGTTGGTGCCCAAATGCCCAAGACCATGGCGAACTGGGTCGGTGGTATTCTCCATATCTCCCATGTTGTTTAGGTCTTCCATCCCATGCTTCAGGTTCTGAACCAAGATGTCTTCCAGCCTTTCATCAACAGACGCGTTCCCACTTGTACCATTCCCTGTGAGGTTCAAAGGCAACTCCTCTGACAAAGACACTTCAGCAACACGGGTCTCAGTCTTCACAGTCAACAGGGAGGCAAATGCCGAGGCGTCTGAGGTGAGAGGTGACAAAGGTGACCGTAGGCCCAAATACAAGGGCCAAACGGTACGAAGCATGCTACAGCTGCAAAACATGCGGATAAACCGCAGCTGAAGCAAGTAGCTCGAGCTAAGGAACTTCGAGCATTCGAGTGGCCACGATGTAGTGTTTTGGAATGTCTCAAGTCTCAACGGCTGACGTGTCAGGAACATTCTATGAACCTTTTGACCCGAACGTCAAACAAGCTGGCCCTATGATTGCTCCAAGAACACAATCATCACTAAATGAAGACTGGTCTGTTTGAGTGACATACACAAATTCCTGATTGTGAGGGACCCTTCTTCTTTAATTCAACTTAGTGCAGCTTGGCAAATTCTGACTCCGCTGCACGAAAGAAACTAGAGATTAGGCTGGAGCTGACCCTCAAAATTGTGAGCTAACCTGCGACGAGCATCATGCCTTACACCACAATATCGTATGAAACGCATCGCTTTGCGGCGCGAATCAACTAGACACTCACAAGCTGGCTTGGAAGGGCAACAAATCTTTCATATTTCTCTAGCCGCTCTAGCCGTTTTAGCACAACCCAAAATGATTTTCCTTGGGGAGAAGCAACAAGAATAAGCCCAGAACATGCAAATACCGCTGCCTTCATGTGTAGCTGTTCTTTTTTGCTGGACAGGCGCCACTTCTGAAAATGGACACGCCACTATTGCTACCGGTCCATGCCAGTGCACAATCCATGCACGCAAAACGATGCAAGTGCCATACTCTGTTCTGTCATCTGCCATCCGTTCCCCATAAGCCTCAACAGTCTTTTGCACAAACATGCACAAACAAATCCATCGACGTTCAATAGATATATGATTCATGGTGCTACGCTTTTGGAAACAGCCAAATCACAGCACTGACTTGAACAGGTGGCCTTCAGCGTAACCAAAGGTGCCATAGTAGCGATCACCTCCAGCATCTACAAAACAAGATAAGACAAGCCATTAGGATAGCCATCTGGATAGCTATCGCAACTTTATAACAATACAGTAAAATGTAACTATAAATTCTCAACTTTGGGAGCAGTATCTCCAAAGTACTCTTGCCAAGGGCATCCAAGCAGCCAAAGTCACCAAGACCAGGCACAATGAATTTCACCTGGCGATAGAAGAACGCCGAAGCATTATGATCCACAGTCAAACTCCCGTGACAGCCGTACGCACCAAACAAAGCAGCAAGACATCTAAATGCCGAATCCAAGCAGCGAAGAATATGCTTGATCATATCTAAGTATGAACACAACATACCCTCTCCCCTCAAAGTTACACTTGCAAAATCTTGCGCACTGGGTGAAACTAGCTAGTTGTTTTACCATGGTTCTGGCTACTTAAAGTAAAACTGAAGCTTCCTGGACGTGTGATGTACTAGGTGTGCCTCTCTTCCACGCCTCGTTGAGATGGGAATCCAACGCACAGGTCAATATTCGAACTCCAGGGGCCTATCGAAACCAACCGCGGTTTCCCACCAAGGTTGCACAATTCCAACGATTGTCTCAAGCCGATCGCCTTCTGCGCCAAGGCTTTCAAGCCCTCGGGGCAAGAGACGACATTAATGAAGAGAATGTTCTCCTGAAAGTGGACAGACAAAACACATGGCAATCAGCATTCATGAATATACTACCTCGCAAGCATTCGCAATCATTTGCAATCCCACATGTCCCGTGATGACCACAACACGCATGAAACGGATGTCTTGTAAAACGCAATCAGTGGGCAGGTGGCCGTACATAGTTGAATGCTTTGTTTTGTTGGCTTTCTACGAGAAGTGCATATTGCTGGTAACGGTATGGGTCTGGCGCTGGTGCTGTGATGCGGGGGGTTCTTACAGTTGTTTTGACGTGATACAGAATGTGCAAACCTGATCGCTGGTGAAAGAGTGCGTGCTTACCGTTGTGGCAGTGAAGTGGTTGGGGCTTTCTTACCCAAATCGTTGATTTGGACAATTGTTGCGAGGGTGAAGTGGTGCGCTTTCACCCGTGGATACATGGGTGGCTGAGCGGAAGTCAAGGCTATGTATCAAAGAGACACATGATACAAATCTACTGTAATTATATATATATGTATAAATTCAAAGAGACCCCAAATGATGAACGAAACCCAAAAAATCCCAAAAGCGCTGTGAGACGCGAATTACAAATGCATGGAGAACCATGAGCATGCATGGAAGAAGCAAGCGCTCTCATTGAGGAACTCGTAGTCAAGGGGATGGAGTCAATTGATTGACTCTTGGCGCACAATGGCATGGTGAGCCAGTGTTTTAAATAGAACTCTTTGTTGCGGGGAAGTTCTTGATACACGTAGGTATCCTCTCAAGCGAAATAGGATTGAGGATTCGTGTTAGTGCATCGTCGTTAGGCAATTGCAAGCTCCCATGAGTGAGTATTCACAGCTCAGCAACTGCAAGCTCCTGGCGCCCTGCTTGGCATATTTGGGGAGAGTTGATCAGTCATGAATGGATGTTGCCTGCTGAAAACTCTCGGCTCGATTCATTGTTGCTCTTTCGGAAGCAGTTGTGACAGGCTTCTTCTGAGAGGTGTTCGACTTATATACTTGTGTATTAGGGTCGGGTCTTTGTGATCAAGTTGAACGGGCAAGTGTGCAATGGTCAACTTGCACCATAATGCCAGGATCAAACGGTTGTGCTGGTGGCGGCGGTGTATCAAATGGCCATCGAAGTTGTTGTAAAAAATGCACCCTGTGAATTCCTATGGCCTATGGCCCTATCATGACGCCACTGCCAATGCTGGCTGAAGAGATGGGTGAGGGTGAGCATTGACATTGCATGACACTCGGCTGGCAAGCTTTGGAGATCACGGACGGTTTTATCGCAAGGGTCATCGTGATTTGATCTGGTAGTGTGACAGTGGATTGCCGGAAACTAAGTGACGTTGTTCACTTGTTCATGGCGAGGTATTGTTGCTGCTAAAGGATAAGTTCTTGTTGCTGGTTAAACTCGTTTACATAGACGCAAGGAACCCATTTTACAAATACGAGGGACGCGTCTGGAATGATCCCTGCCAACTTGACTCAACCCTTCGCAACATGTGACAGCTGAAATCTCCATGTCTTCCGTCCTCTTTGACGTCAACCTTCTTTAAAACCTGTTCAAAAACACAAATATGAAACAGTCACGTAGCCTTGGAGAAGGAAACACAACAATGGTATGGCTAGTAGTTCAGTTCAATCCCAAGTGCGCAAAGTTGCCATTCACTGTCCCTTGTGGAATTGTAACGAAACAATGAAACAAATCTTGTGCCTCAATAGCAGTCAAAGCCGACCCACCAGTAGCCAACATAGGGTCACAAAGCACCACATTCCTTGAAAGGATGTGTGCGCGGAGCAACTATCCTTGTTCCTCCTAGTCCAGGATTGTCTTGGGGACTCCCTCTGACTGGTCACTTGAACTTGTCATTGGCAAGGCCAGCAGTAGGTTGGCACAAACAATAGATGATAGAGAAAAGAGTGGTAGTGACATGGGTTGACGTCGAGCGTAAATAGATTCATATGAGAAATGTTGTGACAAACGTAAGTGTATTTAATGTGGACAAGAGTTGTGAATGCAGTGTCAAGGGAATAGATGTGATGTTTGTGTACACCTTAACCATGTATATATTAAGTGGTGCAAAAAAAAGGAAAAACTTGAAGACTGATGGTAGGTCTTCTAAAAGGATACGATGCGTAAGAGATAGTAGACTGTACCAGGTTGATTTTGAAGACTGTGCGAATCCTTATATGGGCCTACATTTGTTTAGAACTTTGTATCGTGTCATACATGATATATAAATGTATATATATATATATAGATGTACACATACAAGGATGGTTTTGCTACATGTTTGTTCTTCGAAGCCAACGAGTGAGAAACTAATAGTGTGAAACACATTCAGTAATATTATAGAGATCAGTGCCACTGTACATAGCTTAATTTTCATCATCAAGTGTACATGAGACTCGACCGCAGCCCTTTTGGTTACAGCAAAAAGTACGTATGGCGGAGCAGTGGTAACCCCTTTTGAGCTCCAGGAAGAAAAGCCCCTAGGTCACTGGGATCCCGGGTGCGATTTCGAACCATAGATTTGGGGCCTTTGGACCCAAACAGCCGGACTGGTGAGGAATTGTTGTGAGCGACACTCTGTACCCAGTACGTTGTGTTAGAAAGACATTTAGCATACAGTGGAGATGGATGAGATCATGGAAATCCTTGCAATTATAACACAGAGTACGCAAGCAACAACATCAGCAGCTAAGGCAGTGAAGAAAGCAGTTGAAGACAAAAAGTCATCAACAACAGGTTGGTCAAAATTGATAGCAAAGCCCAACATCGTTGACTATAAGCCACAAGAAGAAGAAATCAAGGCATTGAGAGAGTGGTCGTGGGTCGTTGCGAAGTACTTGACTGCAGTTGATGAGGCTTACGTGAAGGACTTGAAAGAAATTAATGAAAAGCCAAATGAAAGCTTTGACATGGACTTGGCAAATGAGGCAGAGAAGGCCAGGGAGGGGCATCAAGCTTTATGGATTGTTAGCTTCATTGATGAGAGGAAGGGCACTGCAAGTGGTGAGAGCTGTGGAGGGCTCCAATGGATTTGATGCCTGGGGGAGTTTGGGAGCAGCCACTACATGCCCAGCATATTCAACGAACAGTGTGCTACAACCTCAACTCGTGAAGCTCGAAGAAGTATTTGATGAGACAGTCAAGTCAGGGACAACAATTCGGGAAGAGTTGAAATCTGCTATTCTTTTGAGATGTGCAGGCGGACAACTCAAATCCTACTTGAATTTGACAATTCGATGCTCAGGGAACAAGTGTTGCAATGGGATGGATCGTTCTCAACAGAAGTGGACTACTTCCGTGGTGGCAAGTAGCAGTACAGACTATCAAGGACCTATGCCAATGGACATTGATCGAGTCCAAGATGCCAAAGGAAAAGGTAAGAAGGTTGTGTAGTGGCTAAAACGATTGGATTGCAAAACCTTAGAAAGCAGTGCTACCAAGGTGGTGTGGATTTCATCTGTGCAAGACATTCTCAGGCAATGTTATGCTATTTCTTTTTTGGGAAAGGCAGTGCTGCCATACAAAAAACATGAGGAGAGACTTTCGAGATAGACCACAAACAGAGATACCACCAATCTCTGGGAACC